GGGGGGGGGGGGTCCCAAGGCTCAAGGCCTTTTCCTTCCACCCTCATCTGTGGATTTTTCCAGCTGCTTTTCTTGGCCCAAGGATGACACCCATAGAGATGCAGATGGGAGAGGGGGAAGCAGAGAAAACAGTGAGGTCAGAACAAGCTAGGGAAGAGGCAGATATTAAGATGGAGAAATGGCACTAGTGGTCCAGCCATTCTGAGACAGGACATCTTTTTACGTAGCTGCTGTGTAGGGCATGGTTAAGAGAGGGTCTCAGCAGGCGACTTTCTCCTTTCCACCCCAAACTGAGTAGCACTGGAATTCTGATTGTGGGGTGCTTCCTTCTAGGACTGGGCTGAAACCTAGGAGCCCTAGCTGCTAACATCTGGGGCAGGATCATGTCTGCTAACAAAGGGTGGTGGGCGCCACCAAAAGGTGAAGACAGTGTGTCTGAGAAGTTCCTGAGGAAGACCAGGGAGTCTCCACTGGTGCCTATAGGTGAGTGGGAATGGAAGGGATGGGGGGCAGGGAGGGGCCTTCTCTCAGAGAATACCTCTCCTAATCCTTTCAAAGAACAAAGCAGAGAACTCAAGTGGTCCTACCCACTGAACAACCAACAGCTAGAAGAGAGAACCGATAGCAGAGGTGCTAAGGGATAAAGGGACAACCCTTTACAATGAAATGAGGGACTCTGGATGGGTGGAGGTGCTGGCCAACTGAGTGCAGGGGATGTAGGGAAATGTGGGGCACCAACACCAATGTCAGGAGGGGAAGGGGCAGTTTGGGATCCCCTAGGGCTTTAAGACCCTGGCAAAGTAGGAAAACAGCTGTATCAGGATGTGGGAGCCAACAGTAGTTCAGAAGGGCCGAGAGCAGAGCTAACAGGTAGGGGATTCATGATGATGGGCTATTTGTATATGGGGGACGGGAGTCACTGGAGGGAGGCAGCCACTTTGAAAACACCATCCAGAGGAAACTCGGTAGTCTAATAACCCCCCCAACCCCCTCTTCATCGAGATGCCCAGTCTGCCTACTGAGGTCTCTCTCAAGAGTAATGTGCTTTGTAGATGAGGCTCAAGGGTCATGTTCTCTGACTACAGGCTTAGGAGGCTGCCTAGTGGTAGCAGCGTACAGGATTTACCGGCTGAAGGCTCGTGGTTCCACCAAGATGTCCATACACCTGATTCATACTCGAGTGGCAGCACAGGCCTGTGCTGTGGGTGCCATCCTGCTAGGTAAGTGGGGTCACAGGAGAATGTGAGCTAGGAGTCCTGACAGTTAAGGGTCCATGATTTCAGTCCCTGTTCCCTATATAAGGCTCCATATCAAGTCCTTGGTGAAATCCCCATACTGAGACATATTCAGGGTTCCCTGTTTAATCTCCTGTCCCAGGCCTGTGGGGACAGTGTGCAGTCTGTTTCATGACAGTTTGTCCTAAAGGTGAGAAAAACCATGCAACAGAACATAGGTTGAACTTCTCTTCCTCTCGGGATCAAAAGGCAGGCAGCTACTTACTAGTTGTGTGACAGTGGACAAATCCTTCTCTGTTGGTTTCCCCATGTGTAACCTAATAACCACCCCTGGCTTGCCTACCTGAGGTTGCAGCAAACCTAAGTGAGGTTTCTTAGATAGAACTGCACTTGAAATGCTTTGTGAATTGTTAAATGGGTTGTTTTCTAGGCTGTGCGGCCAGGTGCTTGCAATAGCTGTTGAGCCCTAGAGAGGAAAAATGAGCAGTAAACTGGACTCTCAAGGGGTCGGCTGGAGTCAGATCCCTGGGGCTTTGCAGCTACTTCTCTCTGGGACACTGGGGGAGTCAGAGGATGGGTGAAGCTTTTGATGCCAAGGGGTGTTTTGCCTTCTCCCTCATGCAGGTGCTGTGTACACAATGTACAGAGACTACATCAAGAGAACAGCACAGGATGCCAGGGAGAAGTAGGTTCCTATAGCCACGGGCAGTCAGACACTCTCACATCAATCCCTGGTATGTTCCTAATAAAGGAGTTTTGTGAAAAACTGAGAGTCTCTTCTTCACCTGGGGGAGAACAAAGTAAGGGATTGGCAGTGGCTGGTTGGGGAACTCAGAGCAAAGGGTTGGAAATCAAATTTTGGCCCCAAACTGCAGGGCAACAGAGACTTTCAGGGGGCAGAAAGGGAGGTGCAGTAGACCTCCAACCCCATAAACCCAACAACTCCCAAGCCAGCTCAGGTCCCACCTAGAGAAGGATGGTAGAGAGAACAGAATGCCAGGAGTGGGAGTGGGGGCAGTAAATAAGCCTCCATGCTTACGGGACACTGAATTAAGAGGCAGGCACTTCCCCCACCACAGGCTGCTTCCCTGGAGACCCAGGCAGAAAGAAGGCTGCAGCCGGGAGCAGAGGCAGTGAAGCCTCATGGGAAACGACATAGATTTAGAACCCAAGTGCCAGGACTAGACTGTGCTGGAGGAAAGGGTGTGGATGAAAGAAACAGAGAAAGGCAGAGGTTAGAATGTTCTGTTCACTTATAAACCATGTCTAAGGTCAAACTTGTACAAAAAAATTCCATGTAAATTCTGAGGACAGGGTCCCCTGGGGTTAAACACTTTTATCCCCTTCTTCCCTGAGCCCAAGTTCCTCTCTGTTCCCTGGGAATGAAGCCAGGCAGAGGCCACAGAAGGAACCAGGAGGCCAAATGTGCCTCCCTCACTGGGCTCTGCATTGGAGGCTCTTGGGTTGCTCCAGACGGCCACAGCAGCTCCCAGACACTCTGACAACATGGAGTCCAAATCACACCAGGTCCCAGCTTCTAGTCCAGGATGCAGCCCCCTGCAGGGAGCAGGAGCTGCTAGGGGTCCTGGCATTCACATGGGGTAATTGAGCACAACATCCTGCTTGGCGAGCTCCAGCAACATAGGATCATCGAAGAACTTGCTGATGCTCACGTCTTCACTCAGGCCCTGCAGAGGGTGGGGGCAAATGCAAGAATGAGTCCTGTGTGGTGTTTGAATGAGCTGGGGGCTATCTGAGACCTGTGGTTTAGTGCGAGGCTGGGGGTGGTGGGGTGGTGGAATGTCAACCAGGCTGTTTGAGGATCCCTGCCTTTAGGGAACTGTCCCTGGAGAGCAGGTCTAGCTGCCTAGGGCCTGTAGAGATTGCATCTCTTTACATTGTAAGTAAACTGCTTAGTCTTTGGGAGAAGGGTCCAAAAGGAAGAAATGGACTCCTGCTGAAACCCCTGCTGGTTGAGGGGTAGTCATAGGTCTGAGGGGACACACACCTTCCGACGACGGGTTTTGATCATGAATTCCCGGGCCAGGTGAGGAGCTGGCTGTGGCTCCAAGGGGCGGATGACAATGCTCTTATCCAGAGGATCACCAGGAACAATCTAAAGAAAAGGGGTTTCAGAGGATCCAGGCAGACCTCCAGTGCATTTGGGCCTGGAAGCAGGACTCTTCTCAAGGAGGTTGGAAAATCTCAGTCAGGACTTGGAAGGGGAACAGGTCAGAAGGGATTGGCCTTGTACAGGTGGGAGGCCAAGTTGGCCAGCATGCACCATTTTCTCACCTGCCAATGGTGAAAGACAGACAAGGAAAAGGCCTGCCCCTGGGTGTGAGTCCGCAGATCAGTCTCAAAGCCAAAAGAGTCGATAGCCGGGATGAAAGCTTTGATGGTGTAAAGAGGGGAGCCTGGAATGGGTGCGTCCTGAGTCACATGCCCCCTGAGACAGAACAACAAAGGCTGGGTCAAAAGCAGAGAAGCAATCTGCCCCCAAATACACCCCAAAACAGAATTACTGTCAAAGAAAGAGTAACTGTGAATGCACTACAGGAGACAGAAAAGGCTGGGGCTCTCAGTGTAATTCCCTGTGGAGGTCAGAGGGGCAGCAACCTCTAGGCCAGAGTGAGAACACTGATGGACAAGGTTTTATAGACAGTCCCACCACCGACACACTGCAGTACTTTCCCCATGAGCTCTGAGAAGGGGTGCCCAATAAAGAACCTCAAATTTTAATCTGCAGGAAAGCGGGGGATTGCCTCATTCCCGTTTCTACTTCCTTCTGAAAACTCAGCTCATTAGGTTTCAGGAGTGGAGAGGGTGGGGAGGCCGATCCCTCCATGGTAGCCAACTGACTTCCTGCTTTGCTCTTCCTCTCTGTGCTCTCCCTAAAACAGGCCTGGGGCTGCTCACCTGCGCCTGGCCAGGACAGTATAAACAGCAGAGACACAATCTGCAGGGGCCTGCACCTCTACAAAGTAGTAAGGTTCCATCAGGCGAGGAGTGGCCTGCAACAGAGGAACAAGAAAGGGATCCTTAGCTTGGGGAAGGCTGAGGACTTAATGCCCTGGAGCAGCAGAGCCCCACTCACTTACCATGAGGAAGGCAGAATAGACAACTCTCCTGGCTGTGGGGATGATTTGGCCCCCGCCTCGGTGCAGGGGCTCCTGGGCAACCACTGCATCTAGAATCTTAAACTTGACGTTTCGAATCACTGAAAAGGAAATGACAGCTAATTAAGGAGTGGATCTGGTGCCAATTAAGAGTCCACAGCCAGAGCAGCAAGGAGCTTCTTATAGCTCTGCAGCTATCTTGTGGCCAAAGAAGATAAGGTACAAAATTGCCCTACAGATGGGTGTTCTGATAGAATATGCAAGGCCTGTAGCAAACATTTAAGCACACATTTGTAGTGCTTGTTTCAGGTATCATAAAGCTTCTCTAGAAGTTTACGTGCTTCTTTTGCAGACATCTAGTTATTTTTGGGTATAGAATAAATTCTAGGAATTGCATATTTGTTCCTATTAAGTCCAATCCTGGTCTATAAACCACTCTAATCCCATCTTCCTCTTGAAACATCTGCTCAAATATATTCCTTCTCAGGAATGAGGAACGAATGTCAATCTGGAAATGACTTTATTTCCAGGACGTACTAAGTGTTAGCAAAGGATAGGGTGGCAGAGAGGCAGGAAGGTGGTTCAGGACACTGGATGGCCCTGCTGCTTCTCCTGCCAGGTCCCAAAGATGAGCCCACCACACCTTCTACACCCAGGTGCAAGGACCCTAGAGGACTAAGGTATGGCAGGCAAGAAACTGGTAGACTTACATTCATCACAGAGAGGTCCCTCCCTCGTTCCCCACTGGAAACCTTGAACAATGCTGTCCTTCACTGAGCCAAGAAGAGCCTTGTCCACCTGCACAGAACATAAGGGCTCTTTAGTAGTGACCCTGGCAATAGCCAGAGTTTAGAGGGAGGAGAAGGTAGGTACACTTATAAGAGGATATTCTTTCACCAGAAGACACAAAATACTTTCAGGAAAAAAAGAACATTTTGTAGTTTCTTCCACTTGAGCTAACAGACTGCCACATGGCTCCCATCAGTTCTCCTGTACCTCAGAGGGCAGGGTATCATCCACAAGGATGTTGGGGCCAGTGGCATCAGGGCCAAAAGCCCAGATGGAACGGGCAGCCAGCAGATCCCAATCGTACTTGGTTTGGAAGAACTCTCCCAGCTTCTTCCTGGGGAAGGAGGAGACAATGGAGGGCTCAGCCAGCTCTGTGATTGTTGGCTCCTGGGGCCACGGATCCTGCCTTTCTGGAGACAGTCAAGTCACCCCACCGCCCACAATAGCAAAGGACAATAGCAAAGTGCTATAGTCCAAGACAATAGCAAAGTGGGAGAAAAAAATTACTTCCCAGAAGGATGTGTGGTATTAGAGACCCAGCAGGTAAGCTATGGCACCCTGCCCCATCTCCCCTTAGCCCTGGAATCAGAGCTGTGTTCTCGCCTGTTCCATGTGATCTGGACCACCTCATTTTCAATGTCTTCAGCAAGGCCCTTTTCAAGAGGCTCAGCAATCATGGTGATCTTGTTCCTAGTTAGAAAGGAAATGAGTAATAAGGTGGGTGAGCAGGACTAGCAGAAGGGCCATTCCTAAGAAAAGGGGGACAAAGGAACAGCTAAGGCAATGACATCAGTGAAAACCACAGGAGCAGAGTAGAGCCAAAAGGGCTCATCTTCTGTCTTCTTTCATTAGCATCTACCACTCTTCCTAAAAGTAAGGTTTGAGGAAATACTTTAAGATGGTCATATTATAAAGAAAGGAGAAGTGACAACTGCAAGTCATCCTGGAATAGAAAGTCTTATGGCAAAGGATTTCACAGGATCATGTCTAAAGGCATAATGGATCAGGGGCCTGAGCTAAAACTCAAGTATCCTAAGCACCCCCATCCCAAGAATTCAGGGTCTCTATTTCCACAGTGTTTGTGATTGTGGTGGAGTTGGTGGGGAGGGGAGCATGTCAGTCCAAGGGACACTATGCCTCCAGCTTACTTCTTATTGGGTGTTTCAGCAAAACACTTGAGGGAGGATGTTTCTACCACGGTCTCACAAAAGGTAACAACGGGGTCAGCCACCTGGGAAACAAAATAAATTATTAGGCCAGGTCTCATTTTGTTGGAAGAACCACCTCCTGCCAAAGGGAATTCCGAGGGCCCCTTGACACTACCTCTGTGAGAAGCCCCCACCTTAATCAGCATCAGTGACAAATAGAAGGCTAAAAGTCACTATCACTGAGAAGCCTGACAAAACTTAGTGTAGCACAGTATTTATGTTCTGAAGCGAAGAGTATCTGGGATCAAATTCGATCTAAATTACAATCCCTCAACGTATCCTTTGACATCCATGTAGCCGTCCCATCACCATTCACTGAATCACTCCTGCAGGTCTGTCAGAGCTGGTACTAGAGACTGACTGGGGAGTACCCATTCTGTTCTCAAACTGTGACTTTTGGGTAGCATAACTCTTCCCTGACGTTCCTGTACCCAGGAAATCCAGTATCTTCTATAGCACCAGTCCTGGGCACATCAGTAGAAGAGTCTAAGAGGGGTACTTGAGGGTACTCATTCCCACCACCCTAGGGCCTTGGAGAAAATGTGTCTCTCAAATGGGAGACTGAAGCCATGAAATGGGCAATTTAATTGAGGGGCTAAGACTTGACAATGAATCCAGGAGAGCCAGGCCCCATTCCCTCCTTGGAACAATCCACTCTGAGCCTTAATCACCACAGATAAGTTGCTTTTTTTTTTTTTTTTTTAAACAAATGACCAAGAATAACTCTGGCTTGGGAGACTTGACTTTAAATGTCCGACACTGAGAATAAACCTGTAAAAGGGGGAAAACCAGATCTCAAATACCTTCCCATTTAGGGAGCAACAGATCATGGTTTTCTGAAACAGATCTCCTCTAGTAGGGCACCCCTCTTCCCTTGAGCCTTCCAGGGGAATCTAGGGTTTAGCTGCTTGAGAAATCAGTCTGGAGCTATGAACCAAGCCCCCTGGTCAGGCAGGCACTCAAGAAAGAAAGGGGCCGCTGCTTTACCTTGATGTCTATCTCCGAGTACATCTTACGCAAATCATGCATCACA